GCTGGTGGTTGTAGCGTCACAATGACAGCCAGACATTTGAGTTCTCGAGGGCGGAAGTGGGAGTGGCAGTGAAATCTATCTTTAGTGGGTTGTCATTCGCTCGAGGGGAAACCCCCTGCTTCAGTGCCTCTCGCTCAAAATGGCGGGTAAAATTCTGCTCTCCCCCTGAATTTCACAATCATGTTAAAAATGCTGTTACCGAGAGATAATGCGATTCTCAGCTATTTGTGTTCGATGCCGAGATTTTGCTCTGGAATCGTATTATCACCTCAAAATGACATTATCGCAGCATGTCGAACACGGCCTAAACCATTAGAGACAATATCGCTCTATTCGAGAGCGAGCTGATGGGTATGAACGCTCGCTGGTACGGCATCACCGAAGCCAAGAAGGGCACAGCACTTACCGCCAGACACAAGACAAAAACTATAGCGATTAAAGTTTTTGCATTGCGCGATTCCTTTGCAGCGAGTTTAGTTAAATCTTCTCGTGAGGCGGAAAGAGAAACACAGCCAATAAATTTTTGAAATCCATTTTCCATCAAAGGAGCGGGCTATTAACGCCAAGAAGAACTTTCCTAACTTCAAATCGAGCCATATTTAAGCAAAACAAATTGGGTAGTACGAAAGTTGTGTACAAGTATACGTTGACCCGAACAAAGAAGTACCCCGAAGACTTCGTTTTAACGAATAAAAAAAAACAGAGAATCATCAACGATTTCAGCGAAATATAGGTAAAAAAATCGATTCTTCAACGAGTCACCAGACTTACAAAAGTTATTTTGCTGTCCCCGGCCGCTGTAATAAGATTGCTTAGGCCGTTCAGCCAGCTAAAGCTGTCCTCCCTGTAAAACTGACTAAAGCTGAACGCTGAACACGATCGGTTCTCCTGTTCCGGCCAATTTTTGCTGGAAAGTGCTCGAGTTGAGAAGCACCACCTCGAACACACCCTCAGTTCCCAATGGTGCAGCGATCGTCGAACTGAGAATGTTGCTATCGGTTTTCTCCCACCCGGCCGTCAGTGCGCCGTACGGGGTGCTTACAGTTGCATTAGCGCTCGTGATGTTCAGCCCTGTTACCATTGGGTTCACTATCCAGTGGCGGAACCCGAACACCAGAGGACGAATACCTGCAACGTAGTTGGTCAAAACATATGTAGGAGCTCCACCCCACGGATGGCTCAACGACGTGAACTCTTTGAGTCCGGGTTCCAGGGACTGCGAAACGTACTCCCAACTTGCTCCGGAACGATAATACTCGTTCGAGATCATGGCGTCCCACAGATTGTCAAGCAAAAAAGCAGCCTCATTTGTGTGTCCAGTCTGTAGTAGTGCGTCCAGAAGGAACCCGTTCGTGTTGGGTGAGATCTTGGAACTATTATCCGTAACACTCGTGTCGATGTATCCGGGGCCTCGACGAAGGTTTTCCAAACTCTTCACGCAAATGTCAGTTTGAGTCTCGTTTGCCACCCCAGAAGTAATCGCGAAAGCGATAGCCGAGACTCCATAGACCTGGGGAGTCGATGCATCGACGGCGTAGTTGCCCAACGTGTCGTCCCAGAGCAGATCATTCATCGCAGTTTTGATACTGGAGGCTACTTCGACCCATTGGTTAGCGGAAGCTTCGTCTCCTATTGACTTGGCTACCTTGGCCATACCATTGAGACATTGGACAGCAGCAGCGTTCACAGCAGTACCGGTACCTGAGCCCAGAAACACGGCCACGTACTTCGTGACATCGATAAGTCCGTTGCTATCTCGGCAGCTTACTAACCAAGCAGTAGCTTTTTGCAGCGACTCCCAGTTAGCCTTCGCGAACTCCACATCGTCATAATACTCCATGTACGACACGAACCCGATCAGCCCCAAAATGTCGTAGTCGGGGAAATTCAAGTATGCGTCACTCGTGCCAGCGTTAAACATAAAGACTTCAGGCGTGGGCATTGGAGTCTCGTACGTCATGGTCATTAGGCCTGGAAATTGCCCATTTGAAGCCTGGTAATCAAAAAGATACTTCCAAGTGCCTGTTATCTGTTCAGGTTTTGAGTTGGCAACGCCCATGATGCGAGTGGTGTGGTAGAAGTCGCCTAACCAAATGTATCGGTCACGTTTTGCCCCATCAAGGCACGCGGCGTACGTATTAGACTGCACGCCGAACTCCGGTAGTACTACGCTTTCGTCTGTCATCGGGTTCGTGTAGAGCGTCTTGGACGAGTCATTCAGACTCGTGGCTTTCACGTTACGAACA